CCAAAATACCGGGACTGCGCCAGTGGTGGCGAGCTCCTCGAGTTGAACCATGTTTCTTCACCATATTCATGTTGTTCCATTCCAAATACTCATCATAAACTCTCTAACGATTATTAGGAACATCCGGAAGGTATCATAGAGAAGGTTCGGTGTTGGAATATTGGAGTTAATGAGTTAATCGTCGAAATCATTGTTCATCGACATATCCGAAATCCTAGACAGCAACTATCCTTTGACTTCAGGTCCGATTTACGCTATCTTACATCTGTTAACTCAAAATACTTTCTATACGAAAGTTATAGACTTACATCTTAGAAATCCACAGAATCAAACGGTTTGCAATTCCGTGAAGAAACGATGGAGATATGCCCAAAATACGGCAGGCTGTCCAATTGTGACGGAAATGACAAAGTTGGCGAACTTCGATGTTGTTTCCACTCCCGCTCATCCGTAAGGTTTCACCCGATAATTTCCATGTCTGTACCCTTTCGTTAGACTTGTCGAATCATTCATCACATACATACATGAACATGTATATTAATCCATATGTTGAAATCATCCCAAAATATATATGTGATCCATATATAAGTCATCTATATGTTGAGATCAAAATACACCAAATCCATAAAATTAATATACACATAAGTAAATATAAACTTTGGAAATCAACCCAACAATATGTATATGTTAATCAAAGGTGTTTAAAAGACTTAAAGAAGTATTTTGGACACTCAAAATATCAAGAGAAAGAGTCGCAGACCCAAACGGTCGACGCAAACGGTCGACCGTCGTATTAAACTTTGAAATGGACCACGACTGTCAGCAGAACGGTCAACCGCTGTCGGCGAACGGTCGACCGCCGCCAGCCAGCCGAAGTCCGCCATCCGTAGCTAGTCAACAACGGTCGACCGCCGGTCACCCGCGGTCGACCGTCACGGTTATCCGCCAATCCGACCTGATGAAGACCAAGGTCGACCGTCGCGCCAAACGGTCAACCGTTTCGAGCCCCAAAGCTTAATTAAATGATATTTTTATCAGATTGCACCCAAATAAAATAAAGTATATTTATCCATTCATATTGTTTACAAATTGTTCATATCATATGACTCATATCATCACACATATTGTAGCATATCATATCATATGCATGCGTAAGAGATCATGCGTAATTGCGTCTCTTATAGCGTGATGTGCGGGACATAGCAGTCCGACATCACTGACCGGGCTTAGTGTATGAACATGGTGTTTAGGCTTTCGAGTACCACCCCTATTTTTCTAGTCTCCCTTGTGAGACTAAGGCCGCTGAGTTCGTCGTACCAAATGGGCGAATTTCACAATGCAAGGGTCGTCCTTGTTGACTTAGAATCATGCATCATGTTATCATCATCAAGTACATTGATTACATAGGTGTCATGTAATCATCATCAAGAACAAATATATTGAGTACATAGGTTTCATGTAATCATCATCAAGAACAATTATATTAATTACATAGGTGTCATTTAATTATCTTCAAGAACAAGAAAATTGATTAAATGTGTCATCATTTAATTATCATTAAATATTTATCATCGTGAATCATCAAATTGATCATATGATATAATGTGCCATATCATGAATATTATTATACACCTTGTGTGGTACCACTCAACGGTTTCGCTGAGCGTGTAGTTTGTATTTTTCGTTGACTACACGTAGGTAACAAGAAGACAATGACGGAACCACTCCCGGAGGGCATTGAGTCAGAGGAGATGCAAGGATGGCAGGCAAATGTTTGATCATCAAAGATTTTAAATGTGTCATGATTTAATTATTATTGTACTTCTGCATTACTCTAAAAATATTTTTAAACGGGTCGCGATCCAGAATTTGTAAATTTAATATTTATAAGTAATTGTCATTTTAAAATGTCAAGCGAAATTTTTATTTAACTCTCGTTTCAACTTAATTCGTGTAATTCCGGGTTATACGGATTGGGGTGTTACATTTTGGTATCAGAGCCAAATGATTTTCGGATCATTGAGTCAGTATTTTTAAAGTCCTGCATTCGCATCCTCCACGACATCTCTGCCCCGGGAAGGTAATCACCAAGTAAGTTATTATGACATAACACACGTACTTAACTCATTGAAAATTTGCTTCCTTTGAGTTATTAGTATCCACATACTTCCGATGGCAATAAGTTTAGATTGCCTCAGAATATTCTTCGACGATCATAGTCGACATCAAAAGATCAAAGATCAAGAAAGGGACTGTAAACCCGATAAGTGCGACATATACGTATGTCATAGTACGCGAATGGCTAAGTGAACGATGTGAATCAATTTCTATATATCAAGCCGAAAAATATGTCTAAGAAAGAACGTTCTCTAATAGGAAGTGAATAAATTCCCCAAGAGTGAATTTGTCATTTTCTAAAGAACGAGAATAGAGCCTCACAAACCAGATCGAATACGACATATGTATCGAATCTGAAACGCATTATAGGGGTGAATGTACATACAAACATTAAGATAATTGACTCGTTCGTATACCCTATTGACGTAAAAGGTCGCAACAAGATGACAGTACAAAACAAGATGTGAAACAGTCACACCAACAGTGAAAGACTGGAAGATAAAAGGATTAATATTTACATGTTACATTTTGATGTTGGAAATAAATATTCTTCTGAAATGCACTAGTCATGCAGCTTAGAACGATATTTATAACTGACACATAATGTACATGGACAATATTATTTCAACTTGGAAATATTACAAATGCAACTCTAAGTCTAACCTTCCAGGATTTGCAAACTCTTCATAACTAGCACCAGGACCTGGGAAAGCCTTAGCAAACTCTAGCTTGTCCAAAAGCTCATCAACAAAGAAAGAAAGAAGAAATGAAAAGTTTCCTCTGGTTGGAGGCCATGAAGTTCTGCCTCACCGCATCATCTAGAAACTTGATTAGGTTATTGAAATAACCGTCAATGTTTAAGAGACCAATAGGTCTGCTGTGCAACCCTTCAGATGCCCATGAGATTAAGGTGAACAAACCTTCGATAGTGTCAATCCTCCAGGAAATACAATGAAGGCTTCCACAATATGATTCATCTCAAAATACTTATAGTAATTGCTGGAGACGGTGTACTCCGCACCATATGTTGGTCCATAGACCCCTCGTGTTGCTATATACCTTGGTATGAAACCTCTGACTCTACCACCATTATTATAGACCATTGAAGCTACAGCTCCTTGAAGGCCAACGTTGCCTCCTCCGTAGGTAAGCCTGATTTTTCGCCTTACCAATTCACGTCCTAGATCAACCGTTGTAGCCATGAACCTTGGATTGCTACCAAGAGCATGACTACAAAGTAGACCAACGAATCTTATGGTATTAGAAAGAGCTCGAGAAGTTCCTTCCATAATGTGAGAATGTGAGACGCTCTTGCCACAATTTGATATATATAGACTCGGAAATTGGACCATTGATGGAAAAGTAATTATCACCAGCCTAAAAACGTACAGGAAAGTGGATTCGCTCCAGACAAGAATGTACTCGCCAATACTATAGTCTGCTAACGACATGACATATTGAGACTCATGAATAGTTAGGCTCGTTGTCCTGAAATACATTCAAATCAGAGACGAAAACTCAAAATGACTACTTCCCTATAGAATTACTCTTTGAGTAATTTCCAAAGGGTGAAACATTGAGTGGTAATTCGCAAATGTTGTCTTTGTATTTGTTACTCGCATCCTTGAAATACTAAAACTTGCTGTGTTAATTACACACTTGAAGCATCAATCTTGAAAAGATTGAATTCCATTTTCTGTATCAAATCATTAAGAACTTGTTGTAACTCATGACTCTCCCTCAAACCCAAGAAGATGTTTTATGATACTGATCTTCAAAAACCATACTCTGTTACGATTGATGTGACTACGTTATCTATGAAAATTATTATCAATGATGATCAAGCAACTCTGCATTGACCCTAACAAAGGAACATATGTGCAACAACTAGAAAGGAAAAGTTGTCATTTGTGTGGTGAATATGACCACACTGAAGGTAAATGTGATCTCCACTTAAGTCAATTGGGCGGACCACCAAGAGAAACCACGCATGTGTCTATAGAATCCCAAACATATTAGAATATGACTATGTGTATAATTTGTCATGTTTTTAGTAATAAGTAATTTAACTATTGTGTGATGAATATTAGTGATATGACGAATACACTAATATTATAATTTTCGAGCACGAAGCTCTATCATAATTATTGAGAAAGTTGGAAATTCCAAGGCAATTCTGGAATCATCAATCAGAAAAATCAGTATTCAAGAATCACTACATATCATCTTGATAATACAAACAGTGACAAAATGACAAATGTTATCAAAAAGTTCATCCAATCATTACAATGTGATAAAAAAACATATATTATTGTTATACATAAGTGTGATATGCATGTTTACGGTTATAGGCATGCATAAGCCATGTGAAATCAGATTGTT